CTCATCTTTGATCACTTTTGTAAATGTGAATACTTCTGTTTTTCCTCTTTTTCCGTAACAACTGTGTTCTGTCCAAGTAAGTGTTTCCTCATCTCCTGAATAAATCCAACATTATGCTAAACACAAAAATCACTAGGGATTTTGGGGGCAGATTTTAATTCCCATAAATGGAATAAAATTATTGTACACTTTTGTAAGCAGTGAAATCATTATTGCTACTCAGTTTGTAGTGAGTAGCCAACATTGGATGGTTTATAACATTTTGATCAAAACAGAGCCCACCTCTTTAGATCAGCCAAACCAATCAACTCAAGTCATGTGCATAAAAGAAATTTTGTTCTGGTTTTAGTTTATTTTTTCAGTGATGTTTGATGTGAAACTATGAACAGATGGTTACCTAATAACCTGAGTCTTTGCTGGAGGCTATGAACTAGTTATTCTTGAAGGTATAGAAAGCTTGTCTGGTCTTGTGCCCGTTCCAAGAGAAACCAAACAGCACGGCTCTCATTATCTGACTAATCAATGGTTAATACATTTTGTAAGAGTTTAATTTTTGTTTTATTGGATAGAAATGCCTCTCAAGTGATTTTTTTTTTCCTCTAGGGAAAAATGTGGTCCAAGCTTAAAATTAAATTTTTATAATGAAGTCCCATCAAAATAATTCAACACGACCCTAAATAATACTAAAGACATTGGATTTTATTAAAACATGTTTTTGTATTTTAAAAAGTTATGGTGCTACTATCTCTCAGAACATGTATATTTGAAGTTTTCTCTTAAAATTATATATTTAAAATTTTGACTCCTAAAGTCATATATATTGTATTATTTCTCCATTGACTCTTCTTTGTTATTTAAGAATATTCAACATAATTATAATGTAAGCTATGTAGAAGTAATTTACCATTTAATAGATGCTCAGCTTTGTCTGGAAGCTTCACTGTCATTATTTAGACATCAGATTCTCTGAGGCCTTCTCTGAGCAGATTTAGCCATTTCTTGCTTTTTGTAAAATATTTCTCTCATGTGACAATTTATCTGTAAAGTCAGTGTGCCACTCAAGACTGTGAGGTTTTTATTCAGTTGCTTTGACATCAACTGAGCGTAGAGCTGGCCTATAGCAGGTGCCCAGTGAATGTTTGTTAAATGACTGATGTGAGGTAAATTGAGAAATATAAAATTATATCCAACAGCAAAGCTTTATTCCTTAATCCTGTATAAATCAATTTGCAGATTACATAAATAATTAATAGAGGAATACAAATCTAATGATGGTGTTTTCTGGGTCAATATTACTTTGGCATACGTGATTACATTTTTGATGACTTTGGCAAGATAAACACGTTCTTACAATGGTAGGCTTTTACTTCAATATCCAGAGCAAAAGAAATTGGAAATTACAGTGTCTTATGTGGTTGAGGAAACTGATTGCATCTTAAGAGGGAGACATGGAAGAGAGGAGAGGGATTGAAGTGAGCAGTCAGTCAGGTATCTTTAAAGCTAAGTAGAGGGTCCTGCAAACTGAGCAGAGATTCTGCTGAGTGAGCGAATGAAACGAGTGGCAGAAAGCCTACTCAGAAATCATTTTGAATGTCAGTAGGACTTTTTTTTTTTTTCACTTTCTTCTTATACGTATTAGGAAGAATTGGGACTGGAGTGTTAGTTACATTTGGGAGCCAGCAATTAAAACCAGCGTTTTGCTTTTTACACTCCCACAACTGTTTTTACACTCTTAACAAGCCTTTCAGCATCAGGATGGTTAGAAGCCATCCTGGATTCATCACTGCCTTCCAGCAATACTGAGGCCTTTGACTGCTTACTGCCTCCTTCAGTGTTTCTCCTCCTTTGCCTCCATGAGGGCAGTTCTAGTATGTTCTCTCCTTTGCGTTCCACTTGGAGTTTAGGCTCATTTACTTCCAGTTGTCTCAGTTGTAGATAAAAAATATGGCTCTGGCGGGTTCCTTTCCTGGTGAAATTGAGCCTCTGGGTTGTAAACTTGGAAAGATCAAGAGACACACACGAGAAATTAATCCTCCAGCCAAGGACAGCAGATTGGAGGATTCTTAGATGTTTCTACTTTATGGGATGCCCTTGTCATTCTGGCCTTTCCTTGACTTAATGGTGGCTGCCTACTAGCCTGGGGTCCTTCAGCTATCAAGTATTTAGTTCCCGAATAAATATTTATATTGCTGCCCTTTGGTATTTTAGAAGTAATCTGCTGTAATCCATTTTCTAAATGTTGTTAAAGGCGTTCCCATCCCACTCAGCAGACCACTATTGCTCGTGCAGTCACTTCTCTGTGGCGGGGTGGCTGTCGTCACAAGGATGCACCGACAGCTTGGGGTGCTCTCACAGTGCAGTGGAGGAACTCTCGCTCCGATGGCCTAGCGCGAGCCAGTGGTTAGTGCCCGATGTACACTTAGTCAGGAAGAAGGACAGGTGTTCATCAGCTATCCCTTGCATGCCTGGAGACTTTTTATAGACCTCATGGAAAATATAGTATTGTCAGAGTATGAAAGGGCTGCTGAGATGATAGGACCTTCCCTGGAGAATGTTTCCAAAACTCAGAATGGAAGCTCCATTTGTATCTTGAAGTTACTCCTGAGAGAAACCCCCAAATGAGCACACGTCTCAGGATTGAGCTAGGAGTCCCAGTTACGGGGTGATGGTTTGGTGACCTCATGAAGAGACAACTGGGCTGTGAATTTCGAGGTGACCAAGGCAGCCAGGTTTCTGTGCTCTATATCCTTATAAGAGCACTGTGTCCATTGTAGACAAACTTGGAAAAAGTAGAGATGTACATACAAAAAAATTAAAATTATGCAGAAGCCCATTATTCAAAGAGATCATTGCTGTTAACATTGTGTAGTATTTATGTAGATCTTCTTTTGTGCACAGACAGTAGGCTTGGAGCATTAGAGGATTTAACATGTGTGATCTGTGATCATGATGGTCCCATGATGTAATGCAGTTTGTTGTCTTACTAAGACCCTGATGTGCGTTGTGCGTGCTGTGAAGTCGCTGTGCACAGTGACCCTGTGACCACTGAGCAGTCACATCTCAGGGAGGCCTAGCTTACAAGTTAGGGGAAATATGTGCTACGATATGACTCAAGAGTTCTTGAATTTGTTAAGGTCTTAGGCTGTATCCTTGAAAGGTATCGAGGGTATATGGTGGCCTGTGACTGTGTGTGTGTGTGTGTGTGTGTGTGTGTATGCGCGCGTGCGTGCTTGTGTGTAATCATGTTATACATTTAGTTGCCTGATTCTCTTCACCTAGTGTAATATTATGAACACTTTACCATGTTATTAGATATTATTTATAAATTATATAGTATTAAAAATTAAATATTAGATATTATTTGAAATCACTTATTACATTCTATTAGGGGACCTACCTTAATTCACTTAACTTCATTGGATACTTAGGTGTTTGTAGAATTGTTTGTCTTGTTGCTATTCCAAGTAATGTTGTGATGAATTTCCTTTATTTTAGTTCAGAATCCTGTGAATTAATTGATGTGTGCGTTTAAGATTTTTTATCCATATTCAAACTGCTTAAGAGAAAGATTATTCTCATCGACATCCCTTCAGCAAGTTTAAACTGTGCTAGTCTCAATATACCTTCACCTGCATTGTCTTACAAAAATAATGATAGGAATTTGATGACGTAATAATTATTATCTTTCTTTGCATTACTTTGCTTTTTTTGTGCAGTTGAGTATTTTTTCTGCCTATTGACCATTACATTTCTTTTAAAATTAAATCATGTTCTTTGCCTGTTTTTATATGAGACTTTAGTGTTAACCTTATTAATTTGCAAGTACTTTTTATAATAAATGGTATGAATCTTTTGCTGGTCTTAAGCCATGAATTTGCTTACTTTTCTCCATTTCTCTTGCTGCCGTCCCAGTCCAGGTCCCATTATTTCCCATGTGAATTGCTTCAGTAGCCAGAATTCCTAACAGGTCTGCAGGGATCTGCCTGAGCCAGCCTCTGTTTGACTTTCCAGCTTTGCCTCAAGACCATCCTCCTCACTCTTTGCTCTGACCTTCCTTTACTTCTTTCCCCACTCATTGTCCTTAGTCCCTTCACACACGTGCCTGTACTTGGCAACTCCATCTTCCCCACAGTTGCCCCACACAACTTTACTGGACTAAGTCCTCTTTCTAGCTTAGGTTTCCTGAAACATCCTTGTAGCATCCTTTTCTTTTTCTTCCTTACATTGAAAACAACTATAGTTAATTCATTCACTCTTGCAAACTAAACTTTGGACAACTGCCTTCATAATCTAGGTGTGATAAGTGATTGACACACATTATTTCTACAGATTTTGCCAAAAGTATATACACACAAACACATCTGTTAGGGGAGAATTAAAAAAAAATTTCTGTGGTTCATGGAATGAATGATCCTCAAAGAGTAATGACAAGACCATGAACTCTGGAATCTGAGGGCTTGGGTTGGAATCTTGGACCCACCGATACTGAGCTGTTTAAGCTTGGACAAGTTACTTAACCTCTCTGTGCTTTGCTTTCCACCTTTATAAAATGGGGTTAATAATTGGATGTATCTTTTATGGTTGTTATGAACTTTGAGGTCATTTATGTGGTGCTCAGTACACAACCTGGAACATGGTAAGTGCTCTATAAATGTTAGTCATTATCCTCCTTTTCATCCTCATTTCTGTCTTCTTCATCTTTGAACTTTATTAGGTGCTAACTCTGTACAGCATCGTGCTAGTTGGTATCTGGGTTTCTGTTTTCTTTGTCAGGACTTTCTCTGCTGGTTTTGAAGTGTTTCCTCTTAGATAGCGAAGTTACTTCTGATGGTGGTTTGTGGAGTCTCTTCTGTCACCCTGCCTTTCTTCTTTTGGACACTTCACTTCTGCTTCCAGAAGTACATCCCATGTTTTCTGAAATATAACATAACTTATCTCTGCTTGTTTTTTGATGGTGTAACTATTTGAGTATTAACACTCAGATCTGTTTTTCCTGACAGCTGGCCAACTTCCCCAGACTCTGCGAGGAAACGGAAAGGATCGTTGCTAACCACATTCGTGAGCGAGAGGGGAAGACAAAGGACCAGGTGAGGAGAGGCCTTCCCTTGTGGGCAGGGTCCTTGTGGGGAGTAGAAGTTCTCCCCAAGGTAGCCTGGTGGTCTCCAGCAGTCTGCGTGTCCCTCAATGGAAACAAAGAGCAGAGAATACCACCACATCTGTTATTTTTACTTCTTTATGAATTTTATACATGTGTCGCTATACTAACATCTTGTGTATGTTAAACATATCAACACATGTAAAGACTTTAGAAGGATGACATTTAAAAAGCAGTGATAGGAATTCCATTATTTTTTCCCTCAACGCCCTGCGGATCAGCGTGGGCACCCCTAGCATGTACACACCCCACTTTGAAAACAAACCGCTGATCCCGAAACATACCACAATCCTTCTGGAAGACAGAGCTTCTTAACTTTTAATGGGCTCACAGATGGGCACCAGGATTTTCATAAATTCCTAACATGTTTTGCAAAATATTTAGTGTTTTTATTATTTTTTTTCTGAGGAGGATGGATAAAGCTATTCGTCAGCTTATCTGTGGAACCTGTGACTAAAAAAGTAACGTTTAGGAACAGCTCTTTCAAACATTATTATTTTGTAAATGTATACAATTTCCAAGAAGTGGCCCTAAAATTGTCTTTGAACCCTGGCTAGCTCAGTGAGTTCGAAAGATTTTTTTTTTTCCCAAGTGGAGATAATTCATTAAAAAAAGTTAAGGACTACATGAAAATGATGAAAGCTTCTTAAATGGAGGTGAGTTTTCCTTAGTTATTTATAAAACATTATAATGGGAGGTTTTCAGATGCTCCTCAATTCCAGGAGCCAGCTGCGAATGTGACAGCATGGAGAGGACATTGGACACAGGCCACACGTCGTCCACAAGATAACAACGTGTTCTTCAGCAGATCGTTTCTCGGGACTGTTGTTTTCTCCTTTATAGCATGGAGATGTTGGTCTATATGATCTGTGGAGTCCTCTATAAGTTAGGCTGCCAAGACTTTGTGGTTCTCGAATGAGTTAGAAAGGAAAAGAGAAAGAACTGGGCAAAAGGAGGAAGACAAAGTAGAAGAGAGAGAGAAACCACAGGAAGAGACACATGCGACATACAGGGTAGGGTAGGCCTGGAAGGAGAAATTGAGAGGGCAGAAGGATGGCGGCCCAGCGGGTTGGGACCCCTGTGCGGACTGTGGTAGCGACCTTCTGCTCTCTGCTTCAGCTGTGGGATTCATTGCTGCTACTTTTTATCATTGTGTTTTGGAAGTTAAGTAACCATTATGCATAGTTTGCACTTGTTTTCCAACTTTCACACTCTCGGATAGCCAAAATAGCCAAAAGTGGAGAAAATAGGCTTTGTGACTCAGTGGAGATAAACAACTCAATGTTAACTCACGAGCCAGTGGAATGAAGCCTGGGTCCAGGTATATAGCCCTGGATGAGGAGATTCCTGCATGTCTAATGTCACAGCTGCTGCTGGACCAAGAAAACTTAAGTTCTGGTGTCAGCTGTGCTCCTGACCTTAAGTAAATGAGATGACTGTTTTAATGTGTGTCTTTATTCCATAAAATTCAAATCACAATATATCCTCTTGGGGAATCCTATGTAAAAACAATATTGAGGAAAAAGTAGTACAATTATTAAATCTTAATTATCTTTGTGTTCCTATCTAAGTCAATTGTTAACTTCCTCATGTTTCATGTTTCATATTTCAGTTTTTATTTTACTAAAACGACACACTCAGACTTAGCACTGTCATTAAGATTGTGGGCTCTGGATTCAGACTGCCTTAGTTCAAATCCAAGATCTACTGTTTACTTCCTATGTGAATGAACAAGTTATTCAACACCTTTACACTTCAGTTTCCTTGCCTTAAAGTGGAATAATCATGGTAATTAACGTATAGGCATTTTGTGAGGGTGAAACAAAGTAATCCAAATATAGTTCTTCTTTAATTGTAATTGTTTTTGTAATTCCTAAAGAGTTACGACACATAGCAGACATGAGAGAGAACTGCGTTGTCTGATTTCAAGGGAGATTGTCTTCCATTTGTAATTCTGGTGTAGTGATTAATTCGTGCCCCGGGGGTGGGGGGTGAAGAATGGAGTGTCTCCCTCCTCAGTGACCCTCGCCGGTGGCGCAGTCTGGCGGTTAATCAACCACCCAAAGAAGCTAATGCTTGCCGCCTCTAACACAGACCTGTGGGGTGTGGTACATACAAACATGCATGTTACTGGCCATGTGAACATGTCTTATTTCACAGATCTCACGTTTGACTTCTGAACTCCGTGCTGCTTTAGGCCAGGTCATACTTCCATCGTAGCTGGTCAGAGAGTGACCCATTCATTTCCTTAGGCCTCTGGACCAGGACTGCTTTGAGGTGTTCTTCCAGTTTCAAAAAATGAAATTATTACCAGCCTCTGCTCTGCAAGCCTTTGGGGGGCGGGGTAAATTCTTCCAAATTAAAAATATGGAACTCCATGAATCGGTCTGTGAGCTTTTTTTCTAAAACAAAGCTCTTTTGAACATGGATGTGTGCCTGCTGTTTCTCCAGGTGCTTCCATGTGTGTGATTGCCTGTTGAAGTGGGCGACTTTGTGGGTGATCAGTGCTTCCACGGATAGCTTTACTTTTCTTCAACTAAATATTCAATAACTGTGGATGAGAAAGGCAGTGAGAAACTCTGAGAAAGTGAAAAAATGAGCAAAAAAATGTACTGTTTTCCTTTTCATCCCCCACATGCGACCTGGCTCTTTTCCTAGGATGAACACAGACTCCCAGTTTCCAGGAATATGAATGAGAACAGCCATAGTTTTTATTTTTCTTCCACTTTTTTTCCTATACTGCAGTCCAAGTGAATGTGTGTGAACGTCCAAGATATTCATGACAATCCTTGGCAGTGTTGAGAATTATGTAGATTGTTCTTTATGGTGGCAACAATGTATTTGTGCTTAAGTATTATGGTTTATTGATATAAACTCCTGGCCAAAGGGATTTGGGGTCTAACATTTAGTGGAATCTGGCTGTGTTGTAGGGAGAACAGAGACAATGCCACAGATAATCGAATAATAATCACTCCTCCTAACGCTTCTGTTTTCTTCATTAAGAGAAAAAGCAAGACTGAATTTGATAATATAAAACTTTTTCATACACTTATGATACTGTTGACCCAGGAGTGGCTGTGCCTCTGCTATGTGTCATAGCTTTTTAGGAATTACAAAAACAATTACAATTAATGAAGAACTAAGAACTATATTTGGATTACTTCGTTTCACCCTCACAAAATGCCTATACGTTAATTGCCACGGAGATGGGTTCTGTGATCCATTTACTCTTTTTTTGGTGGTTCTCCTTGGAATTTAGAGCAGATTTGGTCAGATGACCAACTGAGATTAGCCACAAAAGCAAAGTCCAAGTGCCCATAGCATTGGGTAGTGAGTGAGAAACAATAATACTTGGCCATGTACTAATTATATGGGGGTAAATTTCTCCCTTTAAAGCAAACTATTCTTCAAGGCTGGTAGATGGTTCTAAAATTTACAGCCACAGATGTTTATCAGACACCTGCTGTGTGAATAATGCTAGGTTCTGGGGATAAACTGGTGAACAAGACAGATAAAATCTCTCTTTCCATGGGGCTTATAGTCTTCCAAGGAAGCAAAACATCAAATAAAATATAAACTGATAATTAATTGCATTTGTAGTAAACACCACAAAAAATTAGAGTATAATATGTAAAAAATACAATTATGATATATAGACTATAAAAGTAATCGCATAATCCACACTCGTCTTGGGTGAGGGTGTGGGGTGAGGATTGGCAGGGTGCTTTCCTGAGGAAGCATCTTTTGGGGAACATTATATAGACAACGCGAATGAACTGTTCCTACCAATGCTGTGATGCGCTTACATGTCACCTTCAGGGAAGCCTGTTGATCTCCAGGAGGATTTCTACTTCTTTGTATACTGTCTTTTTGAACTGGTTGATGAGATGCTTCTCCTGCTTGCTTAGAGGGAGCTTAAAGAGATAAAGAGGAGAGGAAATATAAGAGATGATATTGCTATTTTGTGGCTAATAAACAGTGTCAGCGGGAGCAGGAACCTCTGAGCAGCCCCTGACGGCCTTCCTGCCACCTGTCTTTATACACAGATGTCCTTCTGAATGGTACCCTACATTTTAGAGGACAGAATAATTCTAGGTTCCATGTTAAGTTGGCAAAGAGTACATGCCTATAAACTATATGTATATATATGTGTGTGTGTTTTATATATATATATATATATATATCTCGTCTTCATGGGGGACTCAGACTTTCAACATAGAGTTTTAGTATCTGAATTTAGAGTAAAAATTACGAGTCTAATGAAAAAAAATTTAATGCAACTTTTCTAACTGAAACATTTTTTAGAAAATTAAATAAAGATAAATAATTTGTAGGCAATTACTGGGTTTGGTGATTGAGAATAGTTAAGACGGGCTTTCACGGAAGTGATTCTCTTTGACTTTCAGGTACTGCTGTTGATTGACATCCAAGTCTCCTACATCAACACCAACCACGAAGATTTCATTGGCTTCGCAAAGTACGTGAAACCCTTGGTTGTCACATGCTCTCTTCCTGCTGGTTTGTCTCGAATATACGTTAAGAATTTCTACTACAACCTCACCATCTTTTTTTTTTCCCCCTTTTTCTCTTGGAGGGGATGGGGCAACCTCACCATTTTTTAAGAGTGCATTCTGTGTCAGGATTAACTCCATGTCAGAGTACTGAGGTCTGAGTCTCATGGCCATGGGGCCATGTTCCCTGGATGAAGGAGTTGGCTCCTTTTTTGTGCAGCCTGTGAAATCACATGTAGCTCAGATACTCGCTGTTTTTGGATGATGGTCTACGGTTTGTACATGAGCTCCCACAGATAAGCAGTAACAGATGCACATTGAAAATATGTTTGGGAACAATTTCTCACATAAGTTTGAACTACTGTGTGCAGTTTACAGAATACAAACTATTTGGGCATCTCTAAATCAGAATATAGAAGCCTACTTTTTTTAAACTGTCCTTTGTGAGCTTAGATGTAATCTTTTGAATGAACATTCTCTTTTCTATTAAGTGTATGTACTTTATATAAGCTTGTCTATATATTATTCTATTATACATTATTCTGTTATATTCTAAGATTATATATTCACAGATACTGTCAGGTAAACATTATGCTTAATTATTCAGAGTTAATTATTTATTGACTGACATCTTCAAGACCCTGAATTTACCATTTTTTCCTGCCCTTTAGTGGGATCAGTTTTCTATTTTATTTGATTCTAACTCTAAAATATATTTGTGGCATGTAAGTGATTCCAACTTCGAGTATACAAAATATAGTTTACTTTATATAAAATATATAAACTAGACTGACTTTTAGTTTGACATTTGACTTAGAGGAAATAGGTATTTCAATCATGTGATCTGAACTAGCCAGTGGCCTAAGGAATTTATAGGCGTGTTTTAGGAAAGAAAGGCCCAATTATCCAACAGAAAATGATCTCATTCTAAACTTGCTTGTGGTTGTGATGGCCTCACCAACAGTGTACCTAAATTTTGCATCCAGTGGTTGTTACCGTTGCGTGGTACGTTAGTTCTTCTCAACTGTTTGCTATCTGGGACTTACATGTAAAGATGTTAGAACATAGTGATGAATAGGTTTCTTCGGCCAGTTGTCTTTTTAGCCGCATTGCCTACTCCAGCATCCAGCCAGGTCTTTACTCCACAGGCATTTCACACAGACCTGCTCCCCTCTCTTCTAGGCCCCAAGGCTCTCAACATCTGCACTGCTCATTTCCTTTTGCAAAATGACCAGTGGGGAGAAACCTAGACTCTGATGTGCCTTCTTGTCCCCCAGTCTGGAAGAGGGGACCTGAGAATTTCTACCTAGTTTTCAACATAGTCAGTGTACTCCACGTGGCCTTTGCCAAGTTCTACTCTAGTTATGGGGGAAAAAATAAGGAAAAAGAAAAAAAAATTTGTCTTTTAGGAGCTTGCCTAATAATGGAAAAGTATAGAGAAACACATGTAAAAATTTAAACTGACACATTCTCCATTTGCTTCACTTGCTTCTTTGAGGAATTTAAAAGAAAAAAAAAACCCTTGAGTCATTTGAAATAACAGAAATGTTGCCTTTCATGTTAACTTTTATTGGTTACAAATGCCAGTTAGATTATTATAAAAATGTAGCAGATGTAGATATAAACTTGACATCATATCTTAAAAGTGAAAAGGATGTTGCAGTGCTGTCCTGTTGTGGTATCCTGGTCCAAGGAGGAGACGCAGGAAAAAATTAATAATCAGTTTGGAAAGATTCAAGTTTTGAACATGTTTGTAACCAGCAATTTAAATTTCACCCCAAATTCTCCTTGAAACATTTTCCCCCTAGATTACACTTTTACTTATTTTTTAAAGATAAATGGTCCAGAGTTTATTTTCTGCAGTACATTTTAGTATTTTCTACCTCAGAAGCTGTTGGACTAAGATATTATGTTGACTAGATTTTCAAAGACACATAATTTTGCAAATGGAAATACTTCAAGCACAGCCTTTTGTTACAGTCTCTCTGTAATCCAGGTGACTGCCCCACTTCTTCAGCTGTGAGCTAGATTATGAACTTTTATTATATTGGGGGACTAAAAAGAAGCATTGTTCAGACTACTTTAGAAACCCACCAACTTTGCACATTTCTCATCTAATTTAAGTTGCACACCTAAACTTCCTTTTACAAGATTGGTCTGGGAGTCAGCAGTCTGAATTATTTTACTGGGGGTTTGTCCGGAAACTGATGAGATTTGGGTTTTGGCAAGTCACTTAGCCTCTCTGTATCCTCAGTTTATTGCTCTATCGAATGGAATAATAAAAAAAAAAATCCCTGTCTTGTATACCTTTCAGGATTGTCAGAAGATCAAATTAGTGAAGTTATGTGAAAGTGGTTTTGAAACCTGTGGTGTAGTCTGTAAAAGGGAGAGTGCCCCCCACACACACGCATGCACACACACATGCAGGGATTTGATTCTACAAGATGCACCATTTCACCTCATTCTGAAACTTTGAATGACTGGGGTGTAACTGCCACTGAAAGATTATTTTAGTTGCTCATGTTACCTCCAAATGTAATGTCTTGCACTGAGACTCAGAGGTAAAAGTTCTTTCCATCTGTATGCTGAGTTGGAGTACGTTTCATTGTGACATAGGATAATTATGATGAAGAAGAAATGTTCATTTCAAAATCACTTCCAAGGGTTGTGGTGGTTTTTGGTGCTTTTAAAAATTAAAAAAATATGGTTATAGCTACAAATTTTAAAGTTGGCAGAAATGCGGTTTCCATCAAGGAAGAAAAGTCAAGCCATATTTGAAGACAATTATGTAAGTATTTTTAAGTTCTGAAGACAGAAAATTGAAGTCTGGAATTGAGGAAAAATAAGCATTTGTTTCATGAGATTTTTTAGAGTTTTGCCAAAAGAGGAGCACCACCCCTCAGATTTATAGGACGGTGATGTACAGAGTATTTTATACATGTATTTTTTTCAACCAGCATGACCTTTTGTTCTAAAAATCACCCAAAAAAGAAAACAAATTGCTAAAATTAGATTAATGAAATGTTAAGTCTCAGAGTAGTGTTCAAAACATCTCAAAATTCTTATTTCTGCTATAGAATTTATTCAGCCATGTTGACTATGTGGAACATTTTAAATTTTTCCATCTCCCAGCTATTTGCTAAACATGGACCGTAAAATATGTACCATGTGTAACGTGTCCAAGTAGGCTCTGCTGTAGGCTTGCTTTGGAATTTCCTGATTTCTGAAAGCTTGATCTTTCAATGGTAATACAGTTTCTGAACCTAAAAGTTTGGTATTCTAGAAGGAAATGTCAACTTTCCTTTGACTTAAGTACTTTAATTTGTCATTCTTCCCTGCTGGGGAAAAAAAAACAGCCCTACATTCTGTTTTTCTTAGCACAACTTAACTAGTTTTTGTTATTTAAGAAAATGAGCTAGTACAGTCATTCCTTCATTCACTTCCCCTCTTTCTCAGTAATCCTGCTGTTTGAATAGAAAGGCAAGTTTGTAAGCTGAATGCCTTGGGAACTTAACATTCAGATTCTTGTGCTCCTCTCCACTTGTTCTCTGGGCACAATTTGCCTTCCGAGTTACTAAGATTTATGCAGTCCAGTGGTTTAAGAGAAAAATGGGTTCCAGATACAGACCATTGGAGTAATATCTCTATGCCACAAGCATCAGAGCAAGGTCTATTTTTCAGTCTGCTGAGTGGGTCTCCAACACCTGTTTTCTCACAGCTGAAGTGATACAGTGTGCAGATTTCAGTTCTTGTTATCTGAGCACCATGAAAATTCCATGGGTCGTAACCTTTATTATATCTCTTTCCTGATTCTCTGGAATGCCTCTATTACCGTGTTACTGAAGGCAGTGTATATGAACCTTAGTACCAAATTCCAGAACAGTCTTGGTTTTTCCCTCTACGTTCTTCTTTATGTGTCCCTAATACATAATCATATTCCATTATAATAGTGTTTCTAGCTCTTACATGAGAGTGTTCTCTCTCTTGTGGAATTAAAACTTAGGTATTAGCTTATAACAAAATTCTCCTTTTAACTCATTTGCAGATTTCGGAGTTAAATGCTTGATTGCTTCCTGGGACTGTTAACAGGTAGAAATATAGGACTGAGCAACTTGCAAGGACATCCTTAGTATCACCTTTTAAATCACATATATTATAATGTTTCAATCAACCATTTTAAAAATAAGTAGATTTCCACTTTTCTCTTTCATTCTCAAATCTGTTATTTTGAACTTTATTCTTAAAATGAATCTTGAGAGATGAGTCATCTTTCTTTAATAGCTCCCAAGTTTTGGAGGGTTTCCTTGCATAACACTTAGCCTGAGATCTCACTAGAGATCCTGCAAGGGGATGCGACATCATGTAGTTTTCTTCTCCCTTTGGCTTCAGTCTGATTGGATGGAGCCAAGCCTACATGTGATAAGTTGCGCTCTTGGGACTCTCAGCAAGTGTTTATAATCTTCCTGGGGTAACAGAACATTCTAAAAGCGTTTCTTTACTCCAGAGCAGTGCTGCCTAATAGAACTTTCTGAGATGATGGAAATATTTTATACCCTGTGCTGTCCAATACAGTAGCCACCAGCTACATGTGACTATTGAGTAACCAAAATGTGGCTAGTAAATCAGAAGAAATGAAAATTAAATTAAATTTTAATTAATTAAAAAATTAGTTTAAATGGTCACATCTGGCTACCAGCTACTGTACTGGACAGCACAGTTCTGGAATATGGTGAATCCAGCTGATTGCTCTGGGTGCTTCATTACTGGGCCATACTTTACTGACAGCTTGGTGTTGACCTACAGTGGTGGCCACGAGAAGAGAAAAAGGAAGAAACTCTTAGCTGCTGCTAAACAAACCTCAGAGCTCAGGAGTATACACTCCACTTGTTAAATGCTCTGTCCCAGAAGTACGAAGGATGGACTTGTCCCTCCCACTGCCTTAGTCTGTATGTTGCCATTTTGCTAG